GGGTTTGCAGATGGCTGGTAAGGCCAATCTGAGCCTGAAAATGTCTCTGGCAAAACAGCCAAATCAAAGGAGTTGGGGTGTCTCTGTCATTCGATTGTTGCTCGCTCAGGCTTTGCTTGCAGCTCTTTTTTTCTTTAATGTCTCAATGCTCAGCTGCTCTGAGAGCGTGGCCCCATCTGTTACAGCAAGGTGCCAGGCTGAACATTCTAGGTCAAGGTCTTCCCATGAAGAGTAGTCAATGCCAAAATCATTCATTGAGGCTTTTAAAGTGTCTTTGAACCTCATTTTCTGTCCGCCTAGAGAGCATTCACTCATTTTCAGCTCTCCATACAGGAAGCGTTTTATTAAGACGTTTGTTGGACAGTCTCACAATGTTTCCGGCTTAGCATAGGTTTTTGCAGCATTGTGAAGATACCGGGCATGTTTGTCCTTTCGATTATGTCTGTGTTGGGGACTTTATCTTGCCACTTCACTTTCAGCAGTTCAGAGGTGGAAGTGGTTCAGCTTCTTGGCATGTTGTTGGTAGACTGTCCAAGGTTCAGAGGTATAAAGGAGGACAGATAGGACTCCTGCCCTGTAGACCTTCAGCTTGGTGGTCAAGCTGATCCCCTTTTGTTCCCACATTGATGAGTGATGTCTGCTAAAGACAGTGCTGGCCTTGGCTACTCTAATGGCTGTGTCATCATCGATATTCACGTTGCATGAAAGGGTGCTCCCTAGATAGGTGAACTTGTCCACTGCTGACAGCGTCTGGTTGTTCACTGTCACAGTGGGCTCCTGGTATGGGATTTGTGGGCAGACTGGTACATCACCACAGTCTTCATTATCCTAATAGTTGGGCCAAAGTTGTTGCATGCAGTGGAGAACAGTTCCAGGCTGTCCTGCTTGTCACTTCCCATATTCAGGGCGCAGTCACCAGCAAACATGATGTAATGGAAGTATAATTACATAGTCTGGCTACAAGGACTTTGATTGTATCTACTTATCTGTCAGCATTGCAGGAAACATCATGCTGAACAGTGTGGGGGCAAGCACGCAGCCTTGCTTCACTCCGTTTGTAACTGGGAAGGTAGATCTCCATCATCAAGCACACAAACCTGCATGCCGTTGTTGAATTGGCATGCTATGCAAATTAATCTTTCAGGGCAACCGAACTTACTCATGATCTTCCAAAGCCCCTCACAACTTACGGTATCGAATGCCTTGGTTGAGTCCACGAATGCAGTGTAAAGGCCGACAGTTTGTTCCTGGCACTTCTCTTGAGGTTGTCGGGCAGCAAATATCATGTTTACTGTTCCTCAAAACATCTGTCTGTTTCCTTTGTGTTTGTAAAGGTCCACTATGGTGGCGTCCTTGAAGTCTTGAGGGAGAGTACATTCTGTCAGCTAATTTTGCAGGCATGTTTCAGACGCTTAGATCTCAGATAAAACATGGGTAACACTTTATGGTAAGAGTACATGAATTACCATGAATTCATGCATAAATTAATGTGTGAATTATGCATTACTTCATGCATTAATATCTCATGAATTATCAGGAACTAACATGAGTTCAAAGTCTTTCATTCATGACTTCATGGATGAACAACACCTTAATTAAGACATTAAGTACGTCATCATGATTTATAATTTATTAATTTATTACGCACGATCATGATGTTTTCTTTGTTCACAAAAAACAAGGTCTTTACTATCCATTGTGGATTAAGCTATGCTTATGGCACATGATTCAAAAAAGCATTATTTCGTGCATGTAAGACTACTTGAATTCAAATATCCACATTACCTCATGCATGCATACAGGCTAGAACAGTATATCAATTAATGTGAGAACTAATGTTTTTCATTAAATATGATATGAGTTATCAAGCATGTTCACATCTTCTTCATATTAGCCTGCAGGTGAATGGACAGACCCCAACATTGGCCAATCACAGCACGTAGTGAATTCTGTTAACTTCCAAATACAGTAGTCATCATTAACTAAGCATTAGCTTCTCATGACTTCATGTTTGTGGCCCCTCAACTAAAGTGGTGACTTCATATACCATGTACTTTAAGTGCCTGTATATCCTACTGACTACCAGGAAAAAAAGTTTTGTAAATGTAGTATTTTGTCATGTCATTATCACGTGGTGTGACGCTCTGTGTATTATCCGCTCTATGCGTGTGTGTGCTCCGCTCAGTCACTCGTGGCCCATGTGAGTGCTCCATTCATATACCATTCATCGATGTAGTACAGTATTGTTTCTGTCTGCAATAGCCCTACTGTGCTGTAACAAGGTGTGGTAAATGGGCAACTTTGGTAACGCTGCCCTCTCATTCATTGATCTGCTAACCGCTATGCTCATGTGTCCTCTGATGATAATAGCTTTCTAGGATTAAACATTATTTGGATAATTGGTAAAAAAAAATAAAAATCTCTTAATAGCCCTACTGTGTGTTAGACCTACCCGAAAAACTAAAAAGCAATTTATTTCATTTGTATGCCTATCGTTATTTTTTATTTGTGCTATCATTAGTAATTTCTTTATTTGTTCTTATTTTATTATTAACTGCTTAGCCTCCTTGTTATTTTTTATTCAATTCAAAGTTTAAATCAAGCTAGCTCGAGCTACTGCAACAAAATTACCCAGCTGTAAAATCAAAAATACACTGAGTGAGCAAAACTGTTTAATTACCATTATAGCTATCTCACAATGTTTACATATGAATAAAAGCCTACATTAAAATCTGTCATATAAATTAGTCTCTTCATTAGAAATTAGCCTACTGATTGCCACCATTGATAAAAAATTTATTTTTATAATATCAAAAATATCTGTATGACATTATATTCTGCAGTTCTTCCCTGCTGTACCGAATATCTACACTTTTCAAATTATCATATCGAAGTTAGAAATTCAAATATTGTGACAAAATTAATTTTGTAGGGTGCCACAAATTAGCTAATTTCCAAAGGGTGCCGCGACTAAAGAAAGGTTGGGAAACACTGGTTTAGAGCATAAGAAAAAATTTGAAAAATAAGATTTTTTTAAAATTATATTTTATTCATAATCATGATTTTTGTATATTTCTTTAATAATTCAAGTAGTCTTACATGCACGAAATAATGCTTTTTTGAATCATGTGCCATAAGCATAGCTTTATCCACAATGGATAGTAAAGACCTTGTTTTTTGTGAACAAAGAAAACATCATGATCATGCGTAATGAATTATAAATCATGATGATGTACTCACCTTACTTAATGTCTTCATATTCAAATATTGTGACAAAATTAATTTTGTAGGGTGCCACAAATTAGCTAATTTCCAAAGGGTGCCGCGACTAAAGAAAGGTTGGGAAACACTGGTTTAGAGCATAAGAAAAAATTTGAAAAATAAGATTTTTTTAAAATTATATTTTATTCATAATCATGATTTTTGTATATTTCTTTAATAATTCAAGTAGTCTTACATGCACGAAATAATGCTTTTTTGAATCATGTGCCATAAGCATAGCTTTATCCACAATGGATAGTAAAGACCTTGTTTTTTGTGAACAAAGAAAACATCATGATCATGCGTAATAAATTATAAATCATGATGACGTACTTAATGTCTTCATTAAGGTGTTGTTCATCCATGAAGTCATGAATGAAAGACTTTTAACTCATGTTAGTTCCTGATAATTCATGAGATATTAATACATGAAGTAATGCATAATTCACACATTAATTTATGCATGATTTCATGGTAATGCATGTACCCTTACCATAAAGTGTTACCAAAACATGATTATGTTTGCATGTAAACACATCCTCATTCATTTGTTTATGTCCACACCACATTTAGACATTCAGGCTGGACAATATTTGCATCTCTGATGTGAAACATTAGGATAAAAAGTGAGTGTTATTGTATTTATTTTCATTTCATTCAGTCGTATTTATCGGTTTTATTGCAACAACAGGAAAGTTGCACTGTAACTGCATCCCAATTCAGAGGCTGCATCCTTCAAAGTCCATGAAGGTCAAAGTGGCCATTGTTAAATGAGACTATTGTCTATGGAAGATGTCCTGTTTGCATCACCAGCTGTTCCCGCCCACCGCTCCTGTCGCCTAGCAACTGTGTGTGACAGCTGCCATCAGGTACACAGCAGAGATATTTCTGACAGAATTTTACATACAAAAATGGAGTCGGTATTGTATTTCTTCCAGGTTAAATACGTTTGGTTAAACTGTTTATTAATTTGATCTAACTACCAACAATTACTCAACATAGTTTATTTCTCATTTTTTAACAGTGCTAATTTTATTTATTTATTTATTTATTGCCCTGCAATGGAGTCACCACTCCAATCAGGCCATTTTTTCCCAGAAACATACAGTGGCCGAGCTTAATGAATAATTATGATTGAAACCCAGTTGGATTTTATAATTCTGATGTTGGGAAACAGTCAAAGAAAGAGATGGCAGTGCTGGTTGTAGGAGTTTATTTGAGCTGCTGTTGTTGACACATTCTTTAATATTTCGTGCAAAATAATTCAAGAGATTTTATACCCAACCTTCACTCCTTAAAGAATAAACATTACTTCATTTAGCTGAGACACATAATGTTGGCGCTCACTGGTTCATATTCAACCATCATTTCTAATCTAAAGACATTGACACATGAAACTCAATATAAGAGCGAGAAGTAGCCGCAGCAACATACACAGATCCTTAAAACACAGATAAGAAATTTAATAAACCTCATATCACACTCTTCACTTATATTATTTATATCATGATGACATAGAAACTAGTATAAATGTATATCTAATTGAGAGTCTATGATGCCCTTTGACCGTCACAAAATTCAATGAAGTTAGTAAATGACACACACACACACACACACACACAACATGTTGAGTGAGCAAAACGTTTCTGTATGTTTAACCCTCAGGTGCGACTGCGTGTTGAGACAAAACATTTTCAAATTATTCCTTTACAAAGTGATGAATGAAAATTAAGTTAAAGGGAGTAAACACACAAGCACTTCTTATCTCACATGAAAGGTCTGTGTATCCTTTCACTCTTAATATCTGCTGCAGATGAAGTTGAGTTTGTCGTGTTCAGGACGGCTGATCCAGTGCTGATCTCCTCCAGACTGAACTGCTCCAGATCTCACTGCGTCTTCACAGTCCTCCTCTGATGTGCCGTTCCCTGGAGCCCAGTTCTGATAGCACACGGTCTCTCCATTCACCCAGAACCAGATGCCCACAGTGCAGGAGTGACGTAAACCCAACCACACCGCCGCAGTAGACGCCCGTTTAACCACGTTCATCACACGACGCTGAATCTCTTCTGAATGAACCGAGACCAGATCCACATGATTCTGTCTGCAGTATCTCAGAGCTTCAGACCACGTCCGATTCTCTCTGATCACAATCAGTTTATCTGGAAACCAAACAAAGCACAAGCAGAAACTAAAGAGAGACTGATCAAAAACAACATGCAGAACAAACACTGTGGATGAATTTGTCAT